TACATCAGACTAAGAAGTTTCTGCATGGCAAAAGACACAGTAATTAGTGTGAATCAACAGCCCTCAGAATGGGAAAATATTTTTGTAAACTATGCATCAGATAAGGGATTGCTAACCAGAATACATAAGGAACTAAAGAAGCTGTCTGGAAAAAAGATGATGAATCCTATTAAAAGATGGGAGAAAGAGTTGAAAAGAACACTCACTAAAGATGGCATACGAATAGCCAGAAGGCATATGAAAAAATGCTCGACATCTCTCATCATAAGGAAAATGCAAATCAAAACAACAATGAGATACCACCTAACCCCAGTCAGAATGGTCAAGATTAAAAAAACAAAAAATGATAAGTGTTGGCGGGGGTGTGGTGAAAGGGGAACTCTCTTACACTGCTGGTGGTAATGTAAATTAGTCCAACCGCTGTGGAGAACAATTTGGAGATTCCTCAAAAATCTACAAATAGAACTGCCATATTGTGGAAGGCACTGCATACGGGAGCCATCTTGAGCTATCCGCAATCTTGAGCTATCCACCATCTTGGAAACCATTAGGCTTCACTTCTTCACTGAGCAAACCATTTCTCAGAAATCATGTGACCAACTGTTCTCCCCGAGGGGCAGTTGGGTTTCTAGGCAACGGGAGAGATCCACCCACACAAATGATTGGTTCATGCTGTTCTATCTCATTTGCATTTCAGGCAACCAATCGGTGCCCACCAGCCTGCATATACCTTGCCATTTTTTCCCTCAATAAACGGAAGAAGATTTGATCAGCACCTCATATTGTCTCCACTCTGTGTGCATGTGTGTGCATGTGTTTGTCCCATCTCTCACTCCCTCCCCCAGGGAACCTGTTCGACTGTCCCCCAGGTCGGGACACGTGGTGCCTGAACACGGATCTGGGTACAAGGGATTCAGTGAAGAGCTCCTGAGGAAGGCTCCAGTGCAGAGCAAGTGAGAAAAGCAGGCGGAAAACAGAAGGAGATGGCAGGGAATCGTTCCGAGAACGGATGGCATAGATTCGTCCAGAAGGGATGGCATAGACTCGTCCAGAAGGGGACGGCATAGACTCGTCCAGAAGGGGATGGCATAGACTCATCCAGAAGAGGACGAGAGAAGACAATTATACAATTAGTGACATTCAAATGCAATATGATCCAGGACTATTTGCTCAAATTAATATGGCAGCCATGAGAGACTGGAAAAAACTTCCTACTAAAGGAGACTTAAGTACCTCCCTTACAGCAATAAAACAAGGGCCTGATGAACCTTTTTCTGAGTTT